TACACTTTTTGGCGCCTTATTATTATTGTTATTATTTTTTAATAAAGAAAGCCAGATACATTATTGTACCTAATTAGTTGTTTTATTGTTAAGCGCTCCAATTGTGCAAGTTTTATTATAACATCAATAAGTAATCTTCCTAGTTAAGTCACAATTAACTTGGTGGCGCCCAAAGGTAAGATGTATACAAGGAACCGATAGACCCATGGCCTCCGGACTGATGCTGACTAGCCGTATGCAGTATAATTGGGCAATTGCCAAAATAAGTACGTTGTAACGTTGTAACGTCAACTAAATGCAAAATGCAAGGATTGTCTAAGTTTATAAAACCTTTTCAACGTCATATCTCATCTATATTGGTTGAAGGAAATCTGTGAATATTTTTTTGAGTTGCGTAAAGGTTTGTCATATTCACTATTTCTTCATAAATAAGGTTTGGCATATATTTTCGGAAAAACACTATTGGAGAAGGTAAATCAGTAACAGGTTCATCAAGGTCGTCATTATCACGATTCCTAATAATTTGGGTTTGATACCTATGTAGATTTTTGAATTCGTACAATATCTGGTTTTATAGTCAGATTATGTTGCTCGTAGAAGTTATCCAGGCCAACTTCTTCAATGTTATATTTTCTTCTCGTCCTTCGTTTGAAGCATCAGCATCATTTGGAGGATCTTGGTCTTCTCTTGCATGAAGTCTACTAAATCATCAAAATTGTCAGCTGGTTCTTGGAAGGACTTATTCCAATCAAAATCGTCATCTGATAAGTTACCAATATCTGACTCGTCATCATTCTCGAGGCACTACAGGACTTGTTGTTTTGTAAGGGGATTTTTCCTATTACGTGATGCATGTGACATAATCTGAGATGCAAATACGGTCTTCAGAATTAATTTTTGCCGTAGAAAACGATATTTTTGATACCATAAAAATTTTCATAAAAAAATTTGTAAAGAGGATTAGTCCCGTCCTGGGGATATGCTTTTTCAAAGTAAAAAAAAAATAATAACGAAAGGTTTTTGAGAAATGTAAATAGGGTAGAGTGGGGCAGGTTCGGACGGGTTTGGCCAAGGTGATACCGTACTTTTATTTCAGCTAAAGTAATGTTCTAAAAATGTAAATATATTGCTTCATAATGTTTTCAAACCAATACCATAGCAATTTCAGAAAAAAACTTGCACCGTTTTTTCGTGATAATTAAAAAAAAAGTTGTCATTCGTCCGAAGGTGTCCCATATTGGGGCAGTTTTGGACACGCGCATTCGGACATATACTTTATAAACAGTCTTAGCATCTATCTAAACATCAAAACTTATAGTCTAAAGCTAAAGGAACTTCAAACATACAAACCTATGAACTTTGGAACTAGCCTACAAAAATAAATAATATAAAAATAACAAAAATAAATAATGACAAAAAACGTAAATTAATAGTTATTTATGATATAAGTGCTAAAAGTAACATTTTATTTTGTTAAAAGGGAAGTTTGTACACGACAGCCGAAGGCATACCTTTGAACAAAATAAAATCACTTTTAGCACGAATATCATATACAATTTTTTTCTAAAAACGCACTAAAAGTGGTTACCAGTGTCATAAAATGGCATTTTAGACACTGACAGCATCCCTTAAAAAATGACACTTTTAGTGACGTTTGTAGAAAATACTTATTTATTATACAAGACGGTAAAAATATGCTTCACCTGTTAGTGGAAAATGTTTATTCACGAGCGACGAAGGAGCGAGTGGATTAATTTCACGAACAGGTAAAGCTTTTCTACCGTCGTGCGTAATATTCTATTTTATTCTTGAGCAACTTTGTATTTATAATAATTACTAAAATTATACATCATATTCATCCACGTTATGACAAGTTGACAAAGTAACAAACTGACACATTTTTGGTGTTGTCAATCATACAACACTTAGGGCCAAATTATGGACCAACTGGTAAGCGTCTGGTTGTTACCTAGCAAGTACTTTCTATTCTCTAGTGCATAGAAAGTACCTGCTAGGTAACAATCAGACGTTTACCAGTCAGTCCATAATTTGGCCCTTAACAGATTCGTGTCCACAACACTGTATAATAATTATCGTAAAGGTATTTGAACGAGAAGATATTCTTCGTGTTTTGAGAAAAACTTCGGATGACACCTATCTTTTTGTGGAGGTACCTAATATTTTGTAAATTTACTGAAATAAGCAAAGTACGTTTTGTTTCAATTAGTTGCGAATTAAATGACCATCAAGTATTGTGGGTAAAATTGACATATAAGTGGGTCAAATTGACATATGAGTGAGTAAAAATTGTTCGATTTCACTATTTTCAGTAAAGTGTTATTTTGACAATGAGTTTTCGGTCGATAAGATGATAATTTACCATTCGCGATAGAATCGCGCGTGTTTTAAAGACCTTAATATCCACTTATACTTTAATATACTATTTTTTCCACCATCTTTCTGTTTTTAGGGGTGCTTGGCCTATTTTCAACTTTACAAAAAAAAATTATTAAGAAAACTTGTTCATTTTATTATTTTGAACACCTTCAAATATTCAAAGCTCAAATGCTTGGTAACCGTTGAGTAAATTGCATGGAAATTATCAGCATTTATAGCTCTTATCTAGCTCTAAATGGCCTGTGACTTAGAATATTCCCACATTTATAGTTTTTGAGCAAATTGAGTTTGAAGTTTTTAACAAAATTTGGACTGAAAGTCCACTTTGAGGTTCAATTGCTCAAAAACTGTTTGAGCTATCCAACTGAATTTTGCACAGATTTATAGAGAATTTAATGCTCTCTCCAATGGTATGTAATTTATTTCAATTTGCTTGGAATTTAACAAAGATATGGGCAATTGTTTATGACCATGTCAAGATTTTGAGCCAAAAATAGGATATTATATTTTTTTTTTTGTTTCTGCTTAAAATAACCATTTGGAATTGATGCCAGGGTTGTTCTCAACTAATGTTGACCCGCTTTATCGATTATTAAAATTAAAATTGAGCAAAATTATAAAATAAAAAAATCCAGTTTTTCATAATATTCAAACATCAATTGCTCGGTAACCGTTGACCAAATTGCATTGAAATTTTCAACATTTATAGCTCTTATCAAGCTCTAAATGGCCTGTAATTTACAATATTTCTAGATTTATAGTTTTTGAGCAAGTTTTTGACAAAATTTGGACTAAAAGTCAACTTTGAATCTCAGTTGCACAAAAACTATTCGAGCTATCACACTAAATTATTCGAGCTATCAAACTCAATTTTGCAAAGATTTATAGAGAATTTAATGCTCTTTCCAATGGTATATATCCAGACCCAAAAATGGGATTTTATTTTTATTTTTGTTCCTGCTTAAAATAGCCATTTGGAATTGATTTCAAGGTTCTTCTCGCACTAATTTTGACCCGCTCTCTTGATTATTGAAGTCAAAATTGAGCAAAACTAGAAAATAGAGAAGTCGAGTTTTTCATAAGGGTACCCCTTTGACTTCTGATTTCAAATAAGGTATTCAAACCTCAATTGCCCAGTAAACGTTTAGCAAATTATATTTAAAATTTCAGCATTTGTAGCTCTTATTAAGCTTTAAATGGCCTGTGATTTTCAATATTCTCAGATTTATAGTTTTTGAGTAAATTGAGTTTGAAATTTTTGACAAAATTTGGACTAAAAGTGAGGCTCAATTGCTCAAAAACTAATTCATTTATCGAACTCAATTTTGCGAAGAAGTATAAAGAATTTAATACTTTTTCCAATGGTATATAATTTATTTTCATTTGCATTTGCTTGAAATTCAACAAATATACCTATGGGATTTTGAAATTTTTCCAGAGCCGTTTTTGCTTAAAATGACCATTTGGAATTGATGTCAGGGTAGTTTTCCACTAATTTTGACTCGATTGAACGAGAATGAAGAGTGCTTTGAAAGACGCGTTACATTTTGGGAAATTTCATTACACAAGAGAAATGAGAGATATAACGTAGAAAGACAGCTAATGATAATGACAGCCGACGAACGATTGACACAAACCAAGGATTATAAACTATTATTGTTAAGTGCTGATACCAATCATACCCTTGTGACGTCACTACAGATGCATTACCAGGAAAGCATTGAGGTATAAATTAAGAACCACAAAAAAAATATAACGCAACTCTCTAGTCTAACTCCTTCGATCATTAAAAATTCTAAGGGTGAAACATAACATGCCTATTTAATTTTCTCAAAAGCTGCTTATTATTACTTTAACGAAGTCACGAGGCTATCTGATTGAGAAATTGTTGAAACATTGAATAAAAATCACTTTTCACATAAGTATTTACGAAAAACCTGTAAGAATTTGCTATGAGGGAAAAACAATATTGAATCACCTACTTTCTTATTTTATTGTATATTTATTTATGCATGAAAGTTTATAATAAAATCTGCTGACCTTGCAAGGTCGAAACCTAAGTCAAGTATTTTGTTATGCAAGCTTTGTGTCGCGTGCTGCTCGGATATATCAAGATATATCGACTACATTGCATATTCTTACCAGAGTGTGTAATGTTATATTTTTAGGAATAGGACTAATACTATTTTGGCTTATTTATACAGGGTGTTCATTTTAAAACTTACCACCCCCTTTCTGCCCTGTCCATTTAAGATTTTCCAAGGGGCTGGGCCATTTAAAATGAACACCATATATATGTTGAATTTCTGCTTTGAAACTGATTGTCTCTCACAGAGCAAAGAAGAAAGAAATAGGAGTCTACAGAGATAATTAGTTTACGACTTTATCTGAAATGATCTAATATATAATTTGGTATTTTCGTTTATATTGTCTGTCGTTATCAATTTGACACTTTCTGTATAAGGAGTGAGAGGGTGAAGTATATGGCAAAAACAGGTGTGACGTCAGCTCATTCTTTTCGAGTATCATATTAAAATCAACGGACTTTGAGTATTATACTATTGTAACTTTGCTATTGTCAAGTAGGTAAATCAAACAGCTCATAAATTGTTTTGTGTTTATTAAGACATAAATTCATATCAATAATATCGAGGAAGATTCTCGACACCTTTATGCTCTTTCACACTTTCCGACAGCTTATGATTACACATAGTGAGACCTCCTTCGAGAAGCAGGGACCGTTCTTCGTATTTCAGCATAAGTAATTGTGTTGTAGATTTACGAGTTTGGTTTGTCCAAGCATTGTCTATGAACCCTCTGCATGTATCCATGACTGAAAGGCGTTCTTGTACCAGTTGTTCTTTGGCAATTTCTCTTACGGCAATTTCTCTAAAAGTATATTATGGATTTTAAATTCAATTGCAGGTGTGGCAAATGTTTTTCTTACAAAATAATTATGCGTTAATTTTCTCTAAATCTTGTTATTTATAATAGATAGCACAAGAATGTAAAAACTTCAAAAATTCTCAAGTTATCTACCGCAAACAGGAAACCGCATCATGTTATTGAGATATTCAGCTGCAGATGTAAAATGTGTCATTTTATAAAAGGACACACTCTATGAACTTTGTAAGAACTCTGGGCATACTCTAAAGAATGCATCATCTATTTTTAACTTTCTAAATCAAGTAGGAAAGTTAAGAGAAAAACTTACTTCTCAAGTTCCTTGATAACATGTTCTCTAACTATTTCTGCAAATATGAATTCCTCAGTTGAAATTTGGTATCTTTCTCCTTCACTTTGTTGAAAAGCTTCCACTAAAACTTCTATGGCATGTCTTAATTGTTTAAATACATCATCATGCAGTAATTTGGATTTAATCCGTTGCAGTTGGGAAATAGCTTCTTGAATGCGTTGTTTTAACAGATTATTTGGTTCGTTAGATTTATCACGTTCTAGTGCTGCAATGTGCTGGCTAATTTCAGCCATTTGGGAGGTTTCAGTTTTTCTTGTAACTCTTTCAGCAATATTTTCAGCAGTATCATCAGATAAATGTGCGACAATGGCTCCGATATCCATGAACAAAGAACTTCCCGCTTTTTTTTGATCTATAATTGAACAAGCACTGAGAACAGTTAGAACTGACGAAATACAAAAAATCAATACGAAGTATTTCATTTTGATTGAGTTACGTGACTATTGTGTGGCTGTTAATTTTATAGTGAAATTTATCTGCGGAATAAATACAAATTGCAGCGTTGTCCGTTGTGATTATAGAATCAATTTTTAAAATTAAATAAGATTAATTTATGCAACAGAGTACTTTCTAAGCAAAATTATGAAATACATAAGTATATGATAGCATTGCCGCCTTTATCAGTTTTTACAAAAAAAATAATCATACATGCAGTGAATTAAGGGTTTTTCTTGGAAAATGTTGTTTTTATGATGAGCTATGGGTTCAATGATATTTGGTGGTATTCTAGATATATCAGGTTATTGATCCGTAATTTCTGGATCTAAATTCTCAAAACTGTTGGATTCTCTTCTTCGGGATTTGTTTTCCTCATTGGTATCCTCCTGAGGTTTTTGTTTGAAATTCATTTTCTTCCCAGGTTCCACCATCTTTGTTTGAGTTTGTAACAAACAACTATTACTGGAATCTGGAATCGTGCTTAAAATATACAAAGGTGTTATCCAGAAGTGACAGGGACTTGTTGATTGCGTTCCGGCTTCGATTGGTTCGAGGTGTTCTTGTGGCTTTATTAATTTGTGAAGTTCATCCAGGGGGTACCCGGGAGAGTTTCAGAGGCGTTACTTGGGGTTGCAAATCAGGGTTTTTCTCGGATTACAGTTTTCTCATTCAAGAAGTTCTGACTTCGCATCCTGGTTGTGTACTGATTGAGAATACTTCTTTGAGAATCATTATTCTGGTTGTTGGGCAACAAGTTGATACTTTAGGAGACCTAGGAAATATTGGTAGATAATGAGCATCGGATAGATATCAACGTGGTGTTGATTGACACGGGTATTTGCCGGCAAGGTACTTCGCAGTTGCTTAGTTGGAGTATTTGGCATACAATCCTGGTTGATATGTTGTAAGAATCATTCATGATAAAGGTATTCGGAATCAATTTTACGTCATGGAACTTCCGTATATCGGAATAAATTTTCGCTCAGAGCCAAATAGGGAGCAGCATGGTGGTATGATTCGTAGTGGGTATTGAGAAATGGGAAATGCAGTATGAAGACCATGGTGTGGTTTGAGAAGTATCCATCTATGCTAATTATATCATAGTACTTAAGTATATCTTCTTCGAATAGATATAAGGAAGCTCGATTCCGGAGTAGTGTTCGAGCATCTTCTTAACGGCCCATTTAAGCTCTACGGGTTTGATAAGAAAGTTTTGTTTTCGCAAATATAATAGCTACCTCAAGGTCGTTGAGGATTTGCAAGATGACTTGGAGGGCTAAGTTCAGCTGATCTGAGACGTTTCTTGCTTGTAGAAAATGAGTAAAGTCCAACATGAATTTATTTTGTTCGCTTCTTTTTCTATAGTTTCTTTCTTGTGAGTTATAAGGGAGATCGTGTGGTTGAAGTTTTCCATTATCTTGGTGTTAAGACTAATCCGCTGATTCAGTTGGGAGACAATATTATCTTGTCTATGTTGCAATGTTGTGATTGCGGCGTCGTATCTTTGAGCGACTTCGTGGTGCAGTTTTCCAGATATGGTTTTAATAACACTGCCGAGAACATTGAAAATTCCTGTTCTAGATCTTTGGATAGGTATGATGGTTTGTTTTTGGCGGCTTTAACAAAATTGTAGACTTTGATCAAAATTTTGCAGGCTTTTGAAGTAAAAATGACTCAGTCCATTTTCTACTGTCCTTCTTACTGTTGTTCCAAAAACGGAAGTTCCTTAATTACTAGGAAGAGTTCAAAAAAGTGAATAAAATCGTGAGCATTAGATTAGTGTACAAACAAAAAGCAGGTACTCTACCTGCTTTTTACTGTGTACTAGCCGATTTGAAAATATGCATTCATTTTTCGCGCTTATAATCGCGAGTCGGCGCTGGTTACCGGTAAGCGGAAACCTGCTTGCACTGTCTTTGTACACTTACTCTGAATTCTTGCTCGTCCCAGCTTGAAGGGAAGTATTTCTGAGTTGTACTTCAGGTTCTGAGCGACGGCTGAGGAACATCTGTGAGAAATTTCTAGAGTTATTTCCTGGAAGATGAATTGTCGTGTCTTGAGTGACAATGGTCACAATATTGTCAGTGTTAACTGTCTTGGGACAAGTTTGTTCCGCTCTACATTACAGTTTTCCTGGTATAGATATTCGTACTAGGTTATATTTTTTTCCTATGTACGTTCATTTGGATTCATGTAACTTTTGATTCAATTCCCTGTAGATAGTTTGCGTTTTTTCTCGTTATTGTTAAGTATACTTATTTATAAGTGTACAAACACAGTGCAAGCAGGTTTCCGCTTACCAGTAACCAGCGCCGACTCGCGCTTATAAGCGCGAAAAATGAATGCATGTTTTTAAATGGGCTCTCCATACAGGTTTTTTTCACGATTAAGAATATGGTATACCAACTCTTTTTATTTTTAATTCAGTATGCACAGAATCTAGAGCAATCAAATCATCATCATCCGAAATTCACATATTTGCTATAGGCTAGAGGTTCGAGAGATTTTCTCGCTTTTGTAGATTTTCACTCTTTGCTATCTTGGCGCGAGAACACTGCGCAGACCGGGACTGTTTACCAGTAAGCGAAAAACCTGCTTGCACTGTGTTTTTCTGACGTCAACGTCAAACGGATCCTGCGCATCCAGGTGACAGGTCAATATCTATTGGTCGCACGTTTGTCATTGGAATGATAGAATTATTGAATCCGAGAAGTGCATATGGCATTTGTTCTTTACCGCTTAAGGATTTTTCATTTTCTTGAAGTATCCTCGGGTGTTCGATAATGGTGGAGTGGAATCTTTATATCATCCCGTTGAATTGTGGGTCATTAGGGGTAGTAAATATTTCTTATGTGTATTTACAAATTCCTGTATAAGTCCATTCTTAAATTCTGTTCCACTATCGGTGATTATTATGTGAAGTATTCCATGATGAGTTATGAAAATTTAGATCAGGAGGGCATTAAGAACATTCGCTGAATTTGATCCGCCTTTGGGGTAGGCTCGTCTATTTTTTGAGAAGGAATCAATCATTGTTAAACGCTTTTGCTCTCCGGCTTGAAAGGTATCTAGATGAATAATTTCCAGAGGTCTAGTCGGTGTTGGAGTAATCATGAATTTAGGTTTGGCTAGACTTCTATCGTATTTGTTAGACAGGTGTCACAAACATTTATGATATTTTCGAAGTTTCGTTTGAGGTTAAACCAGTAATATTTCCTTCGGATTTGCGCTTCGGTTTTGTTAATAACTCGATGATTTGTTTTTTATCCATTGTAGGGTTGGATTATTTCACTTTGTCTTTCTTTGCTATTGACGTCTTTTAGGAGAACGTTGCATTTGATAAAGTCAAATGCAAAATTTTGAAAAGTTTTAAGAAGTTTTATGAAGCTTCATTCTAAGTGACTTGGACATGTAGCCTGGGTTTGTTAGGTTACTTCTATTATCGGCTTTGGTTTATAAATTATAATTAACAAACTTGTGATCAATAATTTGGTTATTATAGTAGTTAAGGGTTCTTTCGCTGATTGGACAGTCGAGTAGGTATAGGTTCTTCCTGAATAGTGTGTCTAGTTTCGTTATCTTCTTCCGGGTCGGCTTGTGTGGGTGTTGGATTATCAAGGATTTCACTGATAAACTTTTGTATCTTGGCGCTTGCGAAGCGGGTTTCTCTAGAACTTCGTCTATATCAAGGATTGATTTTGCATTTTTGTACCAAAATGCGTTTTCTTCGTCTTTTGGTGGTTGGCCCATTTCTTTGGTATGGATTTCGATTCTGAACAGAGCACCTGCATTGGTGTTTGATTTTCCTTTTTTATAGATTATCTCATAATCAAGCTCTCCCAGCTTTAAACGCCATCTAACTATTTTGAAATTATTGTCTTCCATGGAAAAAAGCCATTGGAGAGGACGGTGATCTGAAAGAATCTTGAACTTTCTCCCAAACAAGTAGGGTCTCAAATACTTGGTGTCCCAGATTATGGGGTGGAATATTTCAACTCGATATCATTGAGTGTCCTAGAGGCGTATGCAATGGACTTATCGCTGCCGATTGGTCATCTAATTGCATAGTTGCTAGATCATTAGTTAGATTAAAAGATTTGTTGTAGTCTGCAGTCCGATATTGCAGAAGAGGTTGATTTGATAGTGAAAAATTTCTAATTCAGTTCGATAATTCTGGTATTAGTTCTATTCTAGAGTCCTTTTTGAGGCAGGAATGATTTAGTAATGTTAGCGAAGTCCTTGATAAGCTTTCTGTAATATTCAAGGAGGCCTAAAAATCCTCGGATTTTTTCGTGATCGCTGTATTGGATAGTCAAGTATGGATTCAATTTTAACCAGATTTGGTATTATTCTTTCTGGTGTAACAATATGTCCAAGAAAAGCAACTTTCTTTTTTAGGAACTCGCATTTATCCATTTGAGTTTTGAATCCAGTTTCTCTAAGACGTTGGAAGATTTTTGGGAGATAAATCCAGATGCTCTTTAAGTGATGTGTGCTGCGCCTGAGCACAATGATATAGTCCATATACACGAAGAAATTTTCTCCTTAGAGGCCTTTGAAACGAAAACGTTATTAATTACCCTGTCTCTCCTGGAGCGTTTTTCAGTCCAAACGGCATCCGGACATACTTGTAATGGCCATTTTTAACATTGAGAGTAGTTTTGCATATATCTTCCTTAGCCATTTCGATTTGGTGGAAACCACTTGCCAGGGGCCTTATTCTGTAAGGAACGAACCGTTCGATTCGGTAGAATTTCTTCGATTGTGATGTCATTTTCGGTTTGGTTTTCGCGCTATCAAACCGAAAATGACGTCACAATCGAAGGAATTCTACCGAATCGAACTGTTCATTCTTTACAGAATAAGGCCCCTGATCCAAAGTTGTCGGCATCTACGAAGTTTGTCCAAAATATTTGTTATGTTTGAAATTGGATATTTATCGTAGATAGTTTTCTATAGTCCACTATACTATCCGCAATTTTATTTTTCCAGAGTCGTCTGGCTTTTTTGGAACTATTCATATCGGGGAAAACCAAGGTGACTGGATTGGTCTGATATTTCCTTGATCCAGCATTGAAGATATCTGGTTTTTCACTTCCTCTATGGATATATGGATATCTATATGACGTGTTATACATTGGAATCTCATCTTTTATTTTAATATGGCGTTTGATCTGGTTTGTAAAGGCCAGGGACATGTCTGGATAATGGAGAATGTAATAATAAACAGGTTTTATGATAATGGGCTATCTATAGTCTGGTTAAATAGGAATCTGAATTGCTGTGTTTACTGCTGTGATGCTCTCTGGAATGGAGAAGAGGGCCTCAAATGCTGTTGGATAGAATTTTGAGGACTGAATTGTTGTGACTGGAATGGTTTCATGTTGGTTTGTTTTTGAGCCACTAGGTTTGTCGAATAAATAGGCCTTTTTGGAAGTATCTGATGTTGTTTTCTCCTGGATAAATTGCATTGCTGCAGATAGGTCGCCGAGCATAACACTAATAAGTTGATCCTAATGGTTCTTTTAGTCTTGCCATGAATGTGGAAAGCGCTTGTTATGGAAGAATAGTTTCTTACTTGTTTTGACATCTGGATTATTATGGTGAAGTTCTAATTCGAAATAGTATTTAGAAGTCCCATAAATTGGGGAGATTTGTTTGACATTTGACGTAAACTAACTAGATTCCTGCGTTGGTCGGCGAAGTTTTGTATCAGAACTCCTTTAATTGCTTCCCAAACAAGGCATCCATAGATCGAAACAGTTTTTTTTGCTCGATGAGTAAGTTTGCTTTTGATGTCCTGGGTAAGCATGTGGTTCTGGAAGCATGCTACATCGGCCTTGTTCCAGTAATAGTTTAGTAGTAACGTCGTGGCGTTAATAAACTCGAACGAACGCCAGGTTTTTCATGTCGAAAGTTTGGCAGGCATGTTTTCTCCCGATTTTTCTTTGGAGGGGATGAGGACAGGTAATTTGTTGTTCGAGTCAGTAAGAATTAGAATTTGAAGTTTTTTCAGTAAATCGTCAGTAGATATATATGCTTACAGTAATTAAAAGATGCAATGGTGCATATTAATACCAAAGTCACTTAGGTACTGAACTAACGGATAAACGTTCACGATCGACGAGGATCCTTAAGGACTCTTCCACTATACTACAGATTGCGCTAATTAAGGAGTTTTCCTGGAAGAAGGTGTTTTTAAAAAGCCCTTTAATTAAAATTTATATTTATTACGAAAGCACAATGTAAATTGGAACTAATTCTAACATTTAATTGCCTACAATTCATATATAAAATACTGCTTAGCTTAGCAATCCACTTTAATCGAAATTAGGTTGCTATATCAGGTGGCGACCATTCAAAGTGTACATTTGATTGATATTACTTAAAGTGTTATTTTTTCTTCCACCTGCTAATTTCCGTTTTGTTTCTTTCTATTTCAGTGATACCTCAATCTTGTCGCTACCGAGGCATGAAATACGAATGCGGTCTGAGCATCTCCTGCGTACTTGGAGGCGGCAGACCGCTAGACCTGTGCTCGGGTGGCATGATCTGGGCCTGCTGCGTGGACAGGGATTCATCTGCAACAGCATCGGACTCGCATGGCGCAGCACCTACCCATCATAATGACGTAGGTGTCCTACATAATGCTAGTAAGTCTATATGTAATGTGTCGGTTCAGCAATTACTTTTTCATTCAAAATGTGCATATTTTCCCCTGGGAAAATTTTGTGGATTTTTTTTTTAAGAATTTTGTATTGATATTGATAAAACATAAACTTGAGATTTGCGTATCGAATTATGACCGCACATTTAGTAAGCTTGACAAATAGAAGTGATTTGGCAGATTTTGTTAACCAAGCAAGATAAATTATCTTGAGAAGAATGAATTTGAGTCTTTCCACTTTAACTTCTTTCCAAGCATAAAATTCCTGATCTTGTTCAACAAAAGTAGATATGGAACGCTTCTCACAACTCATATATATATAAGTACTTATATAAAGAAGCGTACCATACTTTCGTTGTACTCTCTTTATTAGGCTGCATAGAGTGTGGGTACATAACTAGGTTTTTGTAAAATGAAGAGTCGGATAGATTTATTTTCTTATCAATAATATTCACTTCATCAGTCATGAAGATTAGAAAAACTGTTTATTCGCCCTCACCATACTATATTGATCGTTATAGATTTTTTGCATGTAGTTTATAGCATATACTAACCTTTTACATTTTACTTGTCAATAACCCACAAAGATTCCGACGTTTATCATCTAGTTAGCGTCTATCCGCCTGAGGACGGTCTAGAAGAGGACCATCCCGAGTCCAATAATGTGGACAGGCCATCGTTTTCTGGCCATCAAACCAGGTATGTAAATGGTTTTGCTTATTTTGGTATCTAATTTGGTTTCAGCGAGCATCCAATTACCTAAAAATAATTAAAAACGATTCGGTAATGATTATTTGGGTCAAATTAGGTTTGGTTTGAATTATTGTTATAAAAGTTTGCTACTAAATTTTAATGGACAAATATGTTGGACAGACAAATACGACTTTGGATTATTTTTAAGGTAACGTTGTGACTAACAATAACTAACAACATACTGACCATTATTCAGACGACAAACTCATTATCGATACAAGAGTAGGTACTCGTTATGCGAGGCGACCATATAATTATTTTTTAGGTGAATATAGTCAGAAACAAGATAAGATAGCTATCAGTGTTGCCAATGACCCGATAATAATTATCGATCGATTATTATTATCGAATTCTACCATAATTTTGACTACGATTCAATAATCGATAATGACAAGCTAATCTACCATAATTTATTGAAACTACAATTTTAATAGAGATTTTTCAAATTTCTAGTTAAAAATTAATCGCTGTATGCATCATCCTCTTTAAACTTAAAAGCGCTTTTCAAAACTGGTACCTTTAAAAATTTGTATGGCTTAGAATACAGAATCTTAAAAGTGACCAGTTTTAAAAAGCGCTTTTAAGTTAAAAGAGGGTGTTGCATACAACTAAAAATTTATTAAAAAATTGAAGGTGGTTGTTGGTATTGAGTGTTTTGACGTACTGGTGCGAGCACCAAACACTAGTCCCAGATTGATATTATGACATTTCTTGATTCTGCGGAGAATTCTAGACATATTTCATGTATAATGTCATATACCTATCTTCAACTGTTTCGGAAATATTGACAGTTGAATACTAACTTTTTTGCATCTTTGAAAGACTGTAAAACCTGAACGGTTGACTCTACAGCAAAATCAATCATACATTCTCTGCTTAGTTTTTCATGAACTATCATTTGACACCAACTTTGAAATCGGATTTGCTGTAAAATTGATCGCTTAGGTTTCACAGACTGTAAAAATTGCAAAAAAAGTCAATTTTCAACTGTCAATATTTCCGAAACAGTTGAAGATAGGTATATGATATTGTACATAAAATATGTCTAGAATTTTCCGCAGAATCCAGAAATGTCACAATATACAGGGGGTACCATTAAAAAAAATAAAAGTGATACCAGCGAAGCTATTTTTGATAAAAATGATGATGATAAAAAATATATCGAAAAATTTCAAACAAAAAAATAAAATCGACGTGACTGAGCGATTTTCCAAAAATTCTACTGTTTTCAAAATAATGAATTTACGCGGGACTTTATGAACTCACTGTATATTCTGAATCAAAATTAAATTATCTTAAAGATAAAATATGATTCAATTCTACGGGTGTTCGTTTTAAGTGATACCACCAGTGTTGCCAACTTAGTAAAAAAGTTACCAGATCTGGTAATATCGATCCCGGTTTTAGTAATGAAGATTTTCAAAATATATCTAGTAATATTTCTGGTAATTTGACATTTCATTCCAGCCTAATACTGGTATTTTCGCATTAGCAATCAATCATTAATTTTTCTTGAATTTATGGCCGTTTGCACCGTCCATTTTGAGGGAGGTTTAACGATAATCAACGCTTAAAGTGACATTTTTACATGTTAGACTTTGACATTGGAAATTTGAATGGGAAATTTTATCCAATAGGAAAGACATCCGCAAAAAAAATCGCTATTTCGCGTCTATGGAGGCTAGACGTAAATAGCTATGCCAAAGGTTACTCAATATACTTATTGGGTCGGTTTCTTCACCTTCTGACCCATATTAAAACTAAATTTGTTATCCCATTGGTTGGCCAGTTATCTGCCGAACAATAAAATTATAGAACGGTGCACTTATCTTGCAGATAGTTACCAAGGAGTAGGGTTGCCAGATACTTTGAGGTACAGTGGCGGCCAAATTTTTGAATGCTCTTTGTATAAAGCCAAAGCTGTCACAATTTTGGCATTAACGGTTTGTTAAAAAAGTCGAATCCACAGGTCAAATTGTTGGATGCAATTGAAGATGCATTCAAAAATTTGTACCAATTCCAATGGCCGCCACTGTACTGCAATGAACAACTCCGAAAAAGCTCCCATCTTAACGATTAGATATGATTTTGAGCAGATTTTAGAATGTATTGTTGGACATTCTTTTAGATAGTTAGATACTCCTCCTGATCCGTCAGTCTCATTCCCATTTTTTCTAACAAGTCGTGAACAATCTTGCAGTGGCGACGCGTGACAAGCAGTCTGGGGGGGGGGGGGTAAATGGTACTTGGTTCAGGGGGCGCCCCTTCGTGAAGGCGGCAAATTTCAAGGTCCTTCACTTTTCCAGAACAATTATCTCCTTTGTGGGGAAAAAAAAAATGTATTTTTTTCAATATGCTATGTATTTTCTTTTGGGCATCGTGATTTTTCTCTTGATTCTTCGATCCTGGGGGGGAGGGGTAATTACCCCTCCCAACGTGACGCCCCTGCAACCTTGAGTTTTTCGATATTTAAACAAATCCCTGACCCAAAATCGTTTTGAGGTTTGATCCGAAAACGGAAGGAGTTGAAACTATTTTATCTTTATCCGACGTCGGATCGGCCTATCACGTGTATGGTAGTCATACATGTTTTTTTTTTTTTTTGAGGAGATATGAGAAATGGTCTCATATTAAACATGTTAATATGAGATATGAGAAACAGTTAAAATATATGAGTCTCATATTAAAAATAGGAGGTCTGGCAACCCTACCAAGGAGCTTATCTGAAGATGAACAAACCGGACTTAAGTATGTTGTATGTTTACCAATATCTGTAATGGTAATGTAATGTTATGTTATACAGAATGGATTTTTTTTTACAATAATGTATTTGTTTATAGGCAACCTGTAACATTAGGTATACAGTGTTATTTGAATAAGTTTTATTTTTCCATACTAGATATTAAAGAATGAAGGCTTTCACGGCCGGTCAAATCTAGCAAAAAAGTTTTTTCCGGGCTATAATGCCGTGGTCCATTAGTATTTCTACCTAACGTTTCGTCTACTGCTGCGGTAGACATCTTCAGAGGCGGTGTGGTAGAGGACGAAGTGTTCTCTTCCGTGTTTCTCCGATGACTGAATTCGACGTTTATTGGATCTCTTCGAGTGGCTGGTTCAGTTCAAGGGCGAACTATTAACCTTTTTAAATCGTGTGGAGCTGAATGTTAAAATTTAATAATTAGGAAAAAATGAAAGTTGGGCTGAGGGCCCCTAGATTAGTGAAACAATGCTGACATTTTAGGGATTTGGGTGAGTTCTAATGTGGGGGTAAGAAGTCTCTGGGGAGACGGTATGTATCACGGGGATTAGAGTGAATGTGAGACTCACGGACAAGGGGGTTCTGACTGACGTCCACCTTTTGGTAATAATTGGTCAAGAGGTTGGCAACAAACTGCTCGATCGTGTCGATCTGAAGATCATCGTGGAGCACTTTGGTACGGGTGTACACTGGTGCGTCCACGATGATCTTCAGAACCCTGTTCTGAATCCTTTGAATTTTGAGCCTATGAGACGCCGCGCAGGTGACCCGGGTCGCCGCCCCATAGGTTATGATGGATCGGATCAAAGATTTATAAAGTGTTATTTTGTTGCGTATATTGAGAAGGCTGTTTTTGTTCAGAACAGGATACAAGCAAGCAATTTGAGCCTTCGCCCTTGCCACAATTGCTGCAGTGTTGTCTGCCCAGCGCAGACCCCTGTCAAAGATAAGACCCAGGTACCTCACTTTACTGGACCAATCTATTGGCATTCCGGCAACTCTCAGCCTTTGGTTCAATGTAGTGTTCCGACGAGTAAACATAATAGCTTTAGTCTTCGCGGGATTGAGCTTGATTTTCCAGTCCGCCATCCATCTCTCTATTTCAGACATATGTCTGTTCAGTCCCATGAGTATAATGCGCTCGCATTTACGCGTGGAGAGGATGGCGGTATCGTCCGCGAAGAGGTAAAGCTGAGTATGTCTACTCCTCGGGATGTCGCTAGTGAAGATGTTGAAAAGGATGGGAGAAATCGGGGAGCCCTTATGATATGAAAAGCTGAGCGATGCCGGTCGGCCTCTACCAAAAACCTCCTATTTTGGAGGTAGCTGTTGATAGTTTTAGTGAGGTACCTGGGGAAGACAAGCCTTATCATTTTGATGATGAGGGCCCTGTGCCAAACCTTGTCGAACGCTTTGGAGATGTCGAAATATATGGCTCCTGTGTGGTGCCTCCGGTTAAATCCCCTCAGGATTTGAGTCGCCATGCGAGTGGTCTGGTTTATTGTTCCCAATCCGGAAACAAACCCCAGTTGTTCGGGGGGGAGGAGATGGTGGATTTCCACGTGTTCCTGTAAACGTCCCAGAATAACCTTTTCGACCACCTTTCCAATGTTTGAGAGGAGACTAATGGGTCTGTAGGAAGAGATGAGTTTCGGGTTCTCGTTTCTCTTCCTGATCAGGATTACCTTAGCCTCCCTCCAAGCAAGGGGAAAGTGGTCGAGCAGGAAAGTGGCATTTGCAATGTTGCACAGAATGGTTTTGATGTTTTCTGGGACGTTTTTCAGTGCTTTGTTGGGAACAGCATCCAGACCGGGCGCTTTTTTGACGTTCAAGTCTGAGAGGATACTTTGCACCTCCGCGACGGTGACAAGGTGATGGTCAGGGATGTAAGGCATGCCTTCATAGATGTTGTAAGTCGCGTTTACTGAGTTTTCTTTGGCAGGACTCTGCGCTGGGTTTTCACTGAATTGGACCGACAGATTGGAGGCAAACAACTCGGCTTTCTCGCTGGGAAGGCACACAACCCTATCGTCCACTTCCAGATTTGGAAGGGGGCGATACGCGCCTCTGATTAGGCGTC